ACTTTAGTTGACTTGGGTCAATACTGTAGAATCATGGGATTTGTAGTTGGGTGAGGCACCAGAAATCTTTGTCACACAAGGCTTAAGACCTTGCCAAACTACAACTCCCACGACCCCATAACATTGAACCATAGCAGTTAAAATGGTGCCAAACTGTATTAATTCTACGGTGGCTCAATGCAATGGAAATCCTGGGAGTTGTAGTTTCACAAGGTCGTAAGCCTTCCTTGCCTATGGTGCCTCCTTTGGAATCATGGGATTTGTAGTTAGGTGAGGCGGCAGCACTCTGGCACACAAGACTCAAGACCTTGCCAAACTACAACTCCCACGACCCCATAACATTGAACCACAGCAGTTAAAGTAGTGTCAAATTGCCTTAATTACTCAGTGGCTCAATGCTATGGAAATTCTGGGAGTTGTAGTTTCACAAGGTTGCTAGCCTTCTCTGCCTGGTGCCTCCCCAAACTACAACTCCCAGGATTCCATAGCATTGACCGCATAACATTGAACCATAGCTGTTAAAATGGTGCCGAACTGTATTAATTTTACAGTGGCTCAATGTTATGGAAATCCTGGGAATTGCAGTTTCACAAGGTCGTTACCCTTCTGTGCCTGGTGCCTCCCCAAACTACAACTCCCAGGATTCCATAGCATTGAGGCATAGCAGTTCAAGAGGTGTCCAGCTGCATTAATTCTGCAGTTCAGTTGAACCCAGAGTCTGTGCATTTCAGTAGCAAAAAGTGCAACAAAGAGTTCGATCAAAATGCAAGCGACAGACAAACTAAACTTCCGGTTAACGTTAAACGCTGTCCTTGCTTTGAGTCTCTAGGAGCGGTTTCCCTTTAACATAGAGGTACAAAGATTAGAGTGACCATTCAGCGTTATTTCCCGAGTATACACTATCATTATAGTGGGCTAAGCTTGGTAACAGAACGTGAGGCAAAGGACTTTTGTTTGCTGGAGCTAGGTGTGAATGTTTCAGCTGATCACCTTGATTTGCATTCAATGGCTTGGAAGCGCCTGGGGGGAATCTTTCGTTGAGAGTGATTTCATGTGCCTGCTGAAACATTCACATCTGGCCCCAGCAAACAAAAGTCCTTTATCTCACCCTGGTCATTCCACAGATATATAAACCCATTTTTCCTAGTTCCAACAGACCTCATTACCTCTGAGGATGCTTGCCATAGATGCAGGCGAAACGTCAGGAGAAAAATTGCCTCCAGAACATGGCCCTATAGCCTGGAAAAACCTACAACAACCCATGGATTCCGGCCATGAAAGCCTTCGACAATACATAATATAGTTTGATAAACATAATGATTATAATATAATATAATACAGTTTGCTAATGATAATAATATAGTGCCATTCCCATGATTCTATATATCATTGAACCGTGGCTGTTTGGAAAAGTATCAAGCTGCATTAATTTTACAATTTGATTATAATATAATACAATACAATATAATATAGTTTGATAAACATAATGATTATAAGAATATAATATAATATAATATAATATAATATAATATAATACAGTTTGATAATTATAATAATATAGTGCCATTCCCATGATTCTATATATCATTGAACCGTGGCTGTTTGGAAATGTATCAAACTGCATTAATTCTACAATTTGATAATAATAATATAATATAATATAATATAGTTTGATAATGATAATAATATAGTGCCATTCCCATGATTCTACATATCATTGAACCATGGCTGTTTGGAAATGTATCAAACTACATTAATTCTACAATTTGATAATATAATATAATATAATATAATATAATATAATATAATATAATATAATATAATATTATATTATATTATATTATATTATATTATAATATAATATATGATATAATATAATACATTTGATAATGATAATAATATAGTGCCATTCCCATGATTCAATATATCATTGAATCATGGCTGTTTTAAAAAGTATCAAACTGTGTTAATTCTACAATTTGATTATAATATAATATAATAAATACAACTTAACAGTTTGATAATGATAACATAGTGCACAAAATTAACCCGGAAGTTTGACTCCATGTGTGAGTCTTTAAGTTCTATGCTCATAGCTCCAGGAGTGGGCTTTCCCTCTGTCTGTCTGTCTGTCTGTCTCTCTGTCTCTCTCTCTCCCTTCCCAGGCACAATGGAGCTTCCTTTGGGCTTCCAGTTTGAAGAGTCGGTTTTCGAAGGTGGCAGCCGGGAGAGGAAAGACCTCCTCTCTTCTTCCCTTGCCTCCAACTATTCAGCAAGATGCTGTGAGCCAGAGGTAATTCATGGCTAGCTGGGAAAGGGAGGCTGCACTCTGCACATGGTCAGAAGCTACCTTAGCTTCAATTAGCCTACATTGAAAGGGAGGATGTGAGAAAAGCCTCCTCCCTTCCTCATGCATGGTTCCTATCCTTTGGGTCTCAGAATGCTTTGGACTTCAGCTCCCATAACTCCTGGCAATTGCCAAGAAGGAGGCCTGGGGATTCTGGGAGTTGTAGTTTTGCAAGATGGGTAGCTAGTTTGTAAAGGCAAGGCTCTGCAAAGTGTGCTCTTCCAGTGTTTGGGACTACAACTCCCAACACTGTAGGGATGCTAGCTCAGAGTGGTGGGAGTTGTAGTCCCAAACATTGGAAGACCACACTTTATGTTTGGGACTACAACTCCCTGCACTGTAGGGATGCTGGCGCAGAGTGATGGGAGTTGTAATCCAACATTTAGATTGTATTGTGTGGAACTAAAATCCAATTATCTTTCTTTCTATCTGCTACAGTGGTTTTGCGAGGAGACAAGCACCGAAGATGATGCCGAAAATGTCAATATAAGAAAATTCAGAGGGGATTTGGCCTATCAGCGGCAAGACTTTAAGGTATGGTGGTGCGGGTCCTTCTCCTGGGAGGCCTAGAGTTTCTTGCAAATGATTATTATTGCAATCAAAGGGATCTTCCTCCTCTTTCTCTTCACATCCTCCTTCCTTCCCTTCTCCTTTTCTTCTGTTTCTTTTTCCTTCTCTTCTTCCTCTTCCTCATCCTATCCTCCTTCTCTTTCTTCCTCTTTTTCTTCCTCCTCCTTCTTTTCTTTTCTTCCTTATCTCCTTTTTCTTCCTCCTTTCCTTCTTCTCATCCTTCTCTTCTTTTTCTCCTCCTTTCCCCCCTCCTTTCCTTCTTCTCTTCCTTCTTCCATCCTCCTTTTTTCTCCTCCTCCTCCTCCTTTTCCTTCTTTCTCCTTTCCATCCTTTTCTTCCTCTACTCCATCTTCCTTCTTCCTTCCTCATCATTTGCTTCTTTTCCTTCCTCTCTTCCTTATCTCTATTTTCTTCCTCCTTTCCTTCATCTCTTCCTTCTTCTGTCCTTTTTTCTCCTCATCTTCCTTCTTTTTTTTCTCTTCTTCTTTTTCTTCCTCTTCTCCATCTTCCTTCTTTCTTCCTTATTTTCTTCTGCTCCTCCTAGTTTCTCCCTCTCCCTCTTCTTCCTCTCCTCCTCCTCCTTCCTCTTCTTTTTCTTTCCTCCTCCTCCTCCCCTTCTCCTCCTCATCCTTCTTCTTTTCCCTCCTCCTCCTCACCCTCCTCATCCTCCTCTCCTTTTTCTTCCTCTTCCACTTCTTCCTCCTGTCTCCCCTCCTTTTCTCCTCCTCCTCCTTTCCATCCTTTTCTTCCTCTACTCCATCTTCTTTCTTCCTTCCTCCTTTTTCTTCTCCTGCTCCTCCTCCTTTTTTCTCCTCTTTCTCCTCGTTCCCTTCTCCTCCTTGTTTTTCTTCTTTTCCCTCCTCTCTTCTGCAACGACTTCGGAGAATTATTGCAACGGTAAATCATGATCCATCTTCATTTAGTTCAAGAAATGGTTGTATTCTAATCCGACTTTGTCATCCCTTTTCTCCTCCTCATCTCCTCATCCTTCTTCCTCCTCCTCTTCTTCTTTCTTCCTCCTTCTTCCTCTCCTCCTCCTCGTCCTTCTTCTTTTCCCTCCTCCTCTTCCTCCTCTCCTTTTTCTTCCACTTCCTCCTCCTCTTTCTTCCCTTTTCTCCTCCTCCTCCCTTTTCTTCTTTTTCTTCCTCTACTCCATCTTCCTTCTTCCTTCCTCTTTCTTCTTCTCCTCCTCTATCTCCTTCTCCTCTCTTCTTCTCTTTCTTCTTCTCCTTCTTCCTCTACTCCTCTTCCTCCTTCTCCTTCCTCCACCTACTTCCCTCCTCCTCTTCCTCCATTTCCCTCTTCCTTCTCCCCTTTTTCTTTATCCTCCTCTTGCCCCTTCTTAAATCCACAGGGCAGATTTTTTATGGCATCCAAATTGTTAAGTCTCTTCCTTCATGTCGTTTCTGACTCATGATGACTCTGGGTGCATCTACACTGTGGAACTAATGCAGTGGTTTTGCAAGATCTTCAGCCTTCCTGGCCAAATTGAGCTAGAAGTGCCTCGCTAAACTACAAATCCCAGGATTCCATAGCACTAAGCCATGGCAGTGAAAGTGGTAGCAGACGATGTGCATTAATTCCATGGTGTAGATCTGGAGGTCTCAGTCTTTTTCAGTGGTTCACCTAAGTCTAAAGCAGCCATGTGCAAACTTGGGCCCTCCCTCCAGGTGTTTTGGACTTCAACTCCCACAATTCCTAACAGCCTACCGGCTGTTAGGAATTGTGGGAGTTGAAGTCCAAAACACCTGGAGGGAGGGCCCAAGTTTGCTCATGGCTGCCCTAACCTGATTGTAGCTTGCTAAAATGTTTCATGGGCATCTTATTATAAATCTGATTTCAGAAGGCTCTGTGTGAGTATTCCGGCTGCCTGAAACTGCTTCCTCCCAGCAATCTTGCCATGAGAAGGGACGTATTGGAGAGCCAGGCTCGCTGCTTGTCTTCTCTGGGGAGACACAAGGAAGCCTTGGAAGTTGCAGAAACCCTGGTTAGTAGTTTTCCCATGCCTTTCCAATTTATAACATTGGCAGAGAGAGAAATCTCCTGCAAAGGTTATGTTGCCAATTAATTTACTAAAGAGTGTCCATCACCACCAACTGATTCAATCCTTATTTGCAAAAGAAAATATATTTTCATTTGCTATGACCAATACAACAGGGGAGAGGGAAATTACTGTATATAGAGTATAAGCAAAGTTTTTCAGCCCTTTTTTAAGGCTGAACCCGCCCCCCTCGACTTATACTCTAGTCAAAGTTATTTATTATTTTACTCTTTTTATTGTTATTATTATTATTATTATTATTATTATTACATTTACATTATTTTACTCTGCTATCATTATTTTTATTACATTTATTATTTTCTCTATTTATTATTGTTATTATTACATTTATTGTTTTCCTCTATTATTATTACTTTTTTTTACTCTTATTACTGTTATTATTACAAGAAAAGAGATTCCACCTAAGTATTAGGAACAATTGTTAGGCAGTTTAACATGCAGCTTTGGAGTGTGGTGGCATCTCTTGTATTTTGAGAATTTTAAACAGAAATTGGGTGGCCATCTGTTGGGAGTGCTTTTATTGTGTACTAGCCGTCCCCTGCCACGCATTGCTGTGGCCCAGTCTGTATATATGTGTTTTGTGTGTGTATATATTTGTGTATATGTGTATATATATGTGTGTTTGTGTATGTGTGTGTGTGTATATACTCACACGCACACACAAATATGGGTGAATATGTGTATGTGTATATATGTGTGTATATATTTGTGTGTTTATGTGTGTATATGTATATTGTGTATATGTGTGTGCTTGTCTATATGCATATTTATGTGTATATATGTGTGAATGTATGTGTATATGTATATTTGTGTGTATGTATATGTATGCGTTTGTATAGTTGTGTGTGGTTTTATATATATGTGTGTGTGTGTGTATACACCCACACATGTGTATGTATGTATGCATGTGTATATGTATATATGGTGTATTTTGGGGTTTTTTGAAGCCTGTCTGTTGGGTTTTTTTTTGTGTTTTTACGGGTGATGAACACTCCTTGGACTGTGTTGTCGAAGGCTTTCATGGCCGGAATCACTGGGTTGCTGTAGGTTTTTCCAGGCTATATGGCCATGTTCTAGAAGCATTTTCTCCTGACATTTCGCCTGCATCTATGGCAAGCATCATCATTACCTCTGAGGATGCTTGCCATAGATGCAGGTGAAATGTCAGGAGAAAATGCCTCTAGAACATGGCCATACAGCCCGGAAAAACCTACAGCAACCCATTCCTTGGACTGTTAGGTGTATTGTGTCCAAATTTTGTGTCAATTTGTTCAGCGGTTTCTGAATTATGTATCTCCCACAAACGAAAATTACATTTTTATATATTTAGATTAATGCAAAGCAGAATGGGGTTGGGCTAGATGGCCCTTACGGTCTCTTCAGTTTTGTAAAAAATGATTCCAGATGTCCATTTCTGTATTAGTCTATAAATGTTATAAGGCTTTCTGTCGTTGTTTTTGCCACAGTCTGTAAAACGTCAATACAGCATTGCTTTAATGCTCGTGGTTTCGCTTTTTTTCTAGAGAAGCAGAGCAACAAATACTGACCAAATAGTCGCCATCCTTTGCCTGCAGCTGGCCATTTACCGCAGTCTAGAGCACACTGAGAGCATAATCGGATGCCTCCAGCAACTCATTACGTTACACCCTTTTCACCCGAGGCACTGGAAGCTGCTTGCCGAGGCTTATATGAGCCTTTTGCGTTCTCCATCCATGGCAGAAGCTGATTTCTTGCAATGTGACAGCTCAGCTGCAGATAGGAACTTTCTCCAGGTTTTGCCAAATGAAGCCAACACCCCACACTGCAAAAATCACAGCTGGAAAAAGGATGCCTCTCTGCATTTTTCTCCAGAAACAGATGGCAGCTGTGTATCTTGTGAAGAAAGCCAAACAGAACAGGAATCTATGGGTGATCTGGGAAAATCAGAGGTACAGCATGCAACAAAGAAAACTGTATGTTCTTCCATGGGACAGGAAGGCTCCCAAAACATTGCGATATATTCATGTGCTGCTTTCATTAGAGCAAGGTAATAAACAATATTATCGGACTTTTTGATACAAAACGGTCTTCCTTCCTCAACTCAAATAGATGTGAAACTGATTAGTGATCATGCCACCTCCCACTTTTTTTAGTTAAACTGTGTTGTTGTTGTGTTCCTCAGAATCGTTTCCAACTTAAAGTAAAGTTAAGGTTTCCCATTAACATTAAGTTGAGTTGTATTCTACTCTGGGGGGTAGTTTGTTGTTCATTTGTTCAGTTGTTTCCAACTCTTCGTGACCTCATGGACCAGCCCACGCTACAGCTCCCTGTCGGCCATCAACACCCCCAGTTCCTTCAAGGTCAATCCAGTCACTTCAAGGATGCCATCCATCTTGCCCTTGGTCGCCCCCTCTTCCTTTTTCCTTCCATTTTCCCCAGCATCGTTGTCTTCTTTAAGCTTTTCTTTCTTCTCATGATGTGGCCAAAGTACTTCATCTTTGCCTCTACCATCCTTCCCTCCAATGAGCAGTCAGCGGGGTGGTACTCATCTCCATTTTTAAGCCAAAGAGCTGGCGTTGTCCGTAGACACTTCAAGGTCAGGTGGTCGGCATGACTGCATGGAGTGGCATTGCCTTCCTTCAGAAGCAGTTCTTATTTATTCATTTCTACCTTTCTCACCCCAGAGCGAACTCAAGGCAGCTTTACATACAGGCAACAATTTGATACCTTAATACACAATGTACAATTACATAAATATTAAAATAGAATTAAAAAGTACATTAAAACAATTAAAACATTTAAAAACAATACATTCAGAGTTAAACACATAATCCACGAGCTTAATCCAGGCCGTTCCAACGGTCATTGCACATTGTCTCAAGTCTATGAAGGCTTGGTCACAAAGCCACATTTTCACTCTCTTGTAGTAGGTTAGGAGGGATGACATTGATCTAAACCAGGGGTCCTCAAACTTTTTAAACAGAGGGCCAGGTCACAGTCCCTCAAACTGTTGGAAGGCCGGATTATAGTTTGAAAAAAACATGAATGAATTCCTATGCACACTGCACAAATCTTTTTTGTAGTGCAAAAACAAAACCACTTAAAAACAATACAATAATTAAAAGGAAGAACAATTTCAACAAATATAAACTTATTAATATTTCAATGGGAAGTATGGACCTGCTTTTGGCTAATGAGATAGGATTGTTGTTGTTGTTGTTGTGTGCTTTCATGTCATTTCAGACTTAGGTTGACCCTGAGCGAGGGCCAGATAAATGACCTTGGGGGGCTGTACCCAGCCCCTGGGCCGTAGTTTGGGGACCCCTGATCTAAACCCTGGGGAGGGAGTGCCACAGCCGAGGGGCCACCACTGAGAAGACCCTGTCTCTAGTCCAACAATCGTACCTACGAGGGAGGCAGGACTGATAGCAGGGCCTCCCCAGATAATCTTAAACTCTGTGGTGGTTCATATGGGAAGATACGTTGTGCTCAGTAGCCAATTGGCAGCCAGTGGGGCTGATGTAACAGGGGGGTTGTATGCTCCTTGTGCGCTGCTCCGGTGAGCAATTAGGCTTCCACCCATTAGACCAGGGGTCCTCAAACTATGGCCCGAGGGCTGGATACGGCCCTTCAAGGTCATTTACCCGGCCCTCGCTCAGGTTCAACCTAAGTCTGAAATTATTTGAAAGCACACAACTACAACAATTCTATCTCATCAGTCAATAGCAGGCCCACACTTCCCATTGAAATACTAATAAGTTTATATTTGTTAAATTGTTCTTCATTTTAATTATTGCATTGTTTTAAAGTGTATTTGCACTACAAATAAGATATGTGCAGTGTGCATAGGAATTCATACATTTTTTTCAACTTATAATCTGGCCCTCCAACAGTTTGAGGGACTGTGACCTGGCCCTCTGTTTAGAAAGTTTGTGGACCCCTGCATTAGACCATTTGTAGCTTCTGAACAGCCCCACATAGAGCACATTGCAGTAGTCTATTCAGGATGTAACCAGCGCATGGACTACCATGGCCAAGTCTGACTTCCCAAGGTACGGGCTTACATTTGCATGTTTTCTAACTGCAAGGTTGGCAGAAGCTGGGGCTAACAGTGGGAGGTCACCCCATTCCATGGTTTTGAACCGCTAAACTTCTGGTCAGCAAGTTCTGCAGCTTAGCGATTTAGTCCATTGTGTCATTGTGGTTCTTTATGATACCAATATGATGATACTAATACAGAAATATCACCTCCCAAATCCTAGTCCAATTAACATTGTATATTGTATTGTCGAAGGCTTTCATGGCTGGAATCACTAGGTTCTTGTAGGTTTTTTCGGGCTATAGGGCCATGTTCTAGAGGCATTTCTCCTGACGTTTCGCCTGCATCTATGGCAAGCATCCTCAGAGGTAGTGAGGTCTGTTGGAAATAGGAAAATGGGTTTATATATCTGTGGAATGGCTGGGGTGGGGCAAAGAACTCTTCTCTGCTGGAGCTAGGTGTGAATGTTTCAACTGACCACCTTCATTATGTTGTTGGCTACCAGTATTAAAAAACTCTAAAATTACAACAGCAAAACAGCAGAGAGGAAACAACCAGGCACATCTTAACACCTCTCAACAAAAGATTTTCCCAGGCTCAACCAGGCCTTCAAATGCTAATGAAGGTGGTCAGTTGAAACATTCACACCAACCTTTTTGAATCCTGGTTTCCTTGGCTAGGTCTTTGGGGAGGTGCTGTCTGATAACATTAAAGCCTTTGAGAGACAGAGATCTCCTGAATGTGCTATATATGTTCCATTTTCCTTTTGCTTTATTGTATCCCCAGGCTCTTGTTTCAGCTCCTACAGTCGAGCCAATCTTCCTTTGCTTTAGAGAGAAACCTAAAAGCCCAGCAGGAGATTGAAGACAAAGTAGCGTCCTTTGGGTTAAAGGAGGATGCCTTGTCCTTGATAACTGAGGTGAGTGAAGCACAAATGTTTGATTTCTGGAAAAAAGTAAAACTGTTTTTGTATTTTTTTAAAAGAAAAAAATACTCTTATTTCAAAACGTTTACCATAATATAACAACAACAACACTCCTGACCTCACAATTATCAATTATGGGGGGGGGGGGGGGGGAAAAGTGGAGTGTCAATGTTGCAATCTCAAACAGAATTGACGAGAAGCAACTGGAAAAGGTTACACCACAAATAGATAGAACCACAAATACTCTGGCACAAACCAGTCAGGGTGGTCCAGTGGTGTTCGGCACACTGGGTGCAGTGCCTAAAGACCTTGGCCTGCACTTAAAAACAATAGACACTGACAAAATTACCACCTGTCAACTGCAAAAGGCCACCCTATTCGGATCTGCATGCATTATTCCCCGATACATCACACAATCCTAGACACTTCGGAAGTGTCCAACATCTGTCCAAATACAAAAGTCAGTGATCTAGTTTGCTGTGTACTAATCTTGTTGTGGGGCGAGCCCTCGGTGGCACAGTGGATTAAACCACTGAGCTGTTGAACTTGCAGACCAAAAGGTCGTCGGTTCAAATCTGGGGAGCAGGGTGAGCTTCCACTGTTAGCAACAGCTTCTGCCAACCTAGCAGTTTGAAAACATGCAAATGTGAGTACGGAAGTAGGCACCGCTGTGGGAAAGGTAATGGCACTCCATGCAGTCATGCTGGCCCAGGTGTCTATGGACAACCGGCTCTTCGCTTAGAAATGGAGATGAGCACCAACCCCCAGAGTCAGACATGACTAGACTTACTGTCAGGAGAAAACCTTTATCTTTACCTAATCTTGTTGTGTATCAAATAATAATAGGTAAAACGTAAAGGTTTCCCCTGACATTAAGTCTAGTCAAAACTGCCTCTGAGGGGTGGTGCTCATCTCCATTTCTAAGCTGAAGAGACAGCATTGTCCATAGACGCCTCCAAAGTCATGACTGCATGGAGCGCCGTTACCTTCCCACCAGAGCAGTACCTATTAATCTACTCACATTCGCATGTTTTTGAATGGCTAGGTTGTCAGAAGCTGGGACTGACAGCAGGAGCTCACCCTGCTGCCCGGATTTGAACTGTCGACCTTTCTGTCAGCAAGTTCAGAGCTCAGCGGTTTAACTCGTTGCACCACCAGGGGCCTCAAATAATAATAATAATAATAATAATAATAATAATAATAATAATGATGATAATTCCTCGAGTCACCACGGGGAGATAGGGTGGATTATAAATAAATTATTATTTTACTGTGCTGTGTCACATTGTGCTTTTGTGTCAGTAAAATAATAATATATTTATAATCCACCCTATCTCCCCGTGGTGACTCAGAGTGGTTTCCAGTGGAAATAACATAGTGGCAAACATTTAATGCCGAAAACAATGAATAACAAATCAAACAGTGGGAAAACAATCTCAATAAAAACAATCTCAATGAAAATTATAAAAATAGCAAGCTTAAATAAACGTTAGATGATATCACACACACATTTACAACATAATAAGCTCTTAAAACTCTCATAATAAGCTCTTGATACCTTGTTACGTTGTCTATCCCAAGGTCTATATCCCCCCTCCTCTACCCATGACATTATCCATATATAAAAAGTTCTACTTTTACTTATTCTAGTTTCATTCATTCCTTATCATTATTGTAATACATTTTCTAATTGTTCATCCACAAGCTTTCTAGCTCATTGAGTGGTTTGAATTCACCATTACTTTTACACATGAAGGTAATAAAGGGCTTATATGCATTATCTAAAATAACTTCTTTGATTTCTCTTTCGGCTCATCTTATAAGGTTAACTTTGCCAGTTGAGTTGTAGCCCATATCCTGTTTAAGCAATTCTCTAGTTTCTCTCTCTCCATATTCTGACTATTTTGAGTCCAAACATGGAAGAAGTAAAACTTGGTAATGTCTCCTCTGGAGCTTCTAAGCAGAGGCTAGATGGCCATCTGTCGGGAGTGATTTGATTGTGTATTCCTGCATCACAGAATTAGATTAGACTGGATGGCCCTTGCAATCTTTTCCAACTTTATTTATTTATTTAGTTGTTGTGTCAGGAGCAAGCCAAACAGCTGTATTGCATTTTTAACAAACAAACAAACAAATAAACAAAACACAAAGTTTACAAGCTTGGTAGCTGATTAAATGTCCTTTGACCAGTATCTGGCTATTTGGAGTGCCTCTGGTGTTACTATAAGAAGGTCCTCCATTGTGCATGTGGCAGGGCTCAGGGTGCATTGCAGCAGGTGGTCAGTAGTTTGCTCTTCTCCACACTTGCACGTCGTGGGTTCCACTTTGTAGCCCCATTTCTTAAAGTTGGCTCTGCATCTCGTGGTGCCAGAGCGCAGTCTGTTCAGCGCCTTCCAAGTTGCCCAGTTTTCTGTGTGCCCAGGAGGGAATCTCTCATTTGGTATCTGCCATTGATTGAGGTTCTGGGTTTGAGCCTGCCACTTTTGGATTCTTGCTTGCTGAGGTGTTCCAACGAATGCCTCGGTACATCTTAGAAAATGTTGTTGATGTACTGGCTGATGCCCAAACAAGGGATGAGCCGGAGATGTCTCTGCCTTGGTCATTTCACTATTGGCTGCTACTTCCCGGCGGATGTCAGGTGGTGCAATACCGGCTAGACAGTGTAATTTCTCCAGTGGTGTAGGGCGCAGACACCCCGTGATAATGCAGCATGACTCATTAACAGCCCCATCTACTGTTTTTGTGTGGTGAGATGTGTTCCACACTGGGCATGCGTACTCAGTAGCAGAGTAGCAAAGCGCAAGGGCAGATGGTCTTCACTGTGTCTGGTTGTGATCCCCAGGTTGTGCCAGTCAGCTTTCGTATGATATTGTTTCCAACTTTATGACTCTATGGAAATATAGCTACATGCCATACCTGAATCTTCCCATTACAGGATTTAAGCATATATGCTTAACAAAATCTGCTTCCCTGTCATTGTACCTATGAGTTTCAATCCCACAGAGCCTAATCATGGAATTATATTGCTCTGTTCTTTGTGTTCTGCAGCAAGTATTCACTGAGTCTCTTGGGGGAACACAGGAAGCCATATTTTACTAGGTCTGAATGTTTGCCCTTAATGACGCAGTCCTGCCTGCTGTGAATAGTGGCAGCTCTTCAAAATCTCAAGTGGAGAAGGTCCCCCCCCCCCCTTCACCTACAATCTGATTCTTTGGAGTTGCCTGGGATGAACTTGGATCCTTTTGTTTTATATGTACTTTGTTCTATTGTAATTTGTTTGGGCCTGGCCTCATGGTAGCTGCTCCAAGTCCCTTCGCGGAGATGGTGGCGGTGTATAAATAAAGGTTATTATTATTATTATTATTATTATTATTATTATTATTATTATTATTCTGACACAAATACACAGTATGTCACAGCAACTGAGATCTATATACTAGATTTGTTGTTGTTGTTGTTGTTGTTATAATTATGTGAAACATAAAGTTTGGCTTGCTAGTCAATTTGTTACCTCTGTTCTTTCCAGACAATGGGAGAGGATATTGTGCCCGAAAGGCTGAAGGAGGATGCCCAGGGAGAGGTGAAATGCCTGAGTACTTCAGCCTTGATGGCCCTCTTGACTCCATTGACTGTGGAATTTGAAGAAAAGTGGTTCCAAAAACTCAGAGATTCCTTCTGTCACTTGGAGTGCCACATATGACACCATATGGCTGCATTGAGACTCGTTCTGTTTTTCTTTTTCTCCTGGCTCTCCAAGGCTCTCCAGGGAAGGACTGGAGACTTTAAGTTCATCCCATCTGAACCCGAGTTTCCTTTTCCCAGCATTTGTCTGTTTTGTTCACCCCAGAGTGCCTTGGCCATGGGAGCGACTGGGGAGTTTCTTTGGATACGGAACTTGGCAAGAGACCAACGTTTCCTTCGTTAGGACTTGTGTCCATTTATTTTTGTTGTCCCTGGCACAATAGGCCTTTTTATGAATGGCAAGATGCCCAGGATTAAGAGGTCATGAACGTCCGTCCTTGCAGTCTTTTTGCTTTGTTTTTGATTTTTCCAGCCAACTCTGTTGTCCCTTGGGAGAGGTGAGAGAAAGGTTCTTTTTGTTGGTAATAAACTCATCCTTCCTATACATTCTCAGGGATTTTCATCACTTTTGAAATGTTCACTCATAAAATTGTCATGATCATATAACTATGTGAAAATAATTTACTCACTCTGGTACATGTGTGATTCTGTTCTTTTATTGAGGGCTGGGCTTTAGCACAGCTGGTTAATCACCAGCAGTAATAGATCACACCAATTGAAAGGTTGGCAGTTCGAAGCCCAGCTTGGGGTGAGCACCTGACTTTCATCCCAGCTCACTGTTCACCTAAGCAATTTGAAAACAGCTGTGAGCTGTGAGCTGTGAGTAGAGAAATTAGGCACTGCTTAAGCGGGGAGGTATTTTACGGTACCATAACAAATACCAGAAAATGCTGATGATCAAAGGAAGGAGGAAATCTGTGATTAAGGACTCTTCGTCACAGAGGAAAGAGCGACAACACCCCCCTGTGGCCAGAATAGAGCACAACCTCCAGGACGCCAAAGTTGGGAAAAATGCCGACATATATTTCTATCTGTTTTCTGTCCTGTCTGTCTAACGGCATTGAATATTTGCCATGTATGTGTTCTGTGATCCGCTTGGAGTCCCCTTCGGGATGAGAAGGGTGGAATATAAATGCTCTAAATAAAATGAATAAAATAAAAACATTTATTTATTTAAATTGAACCATTTCTAAGGATATAGCTCAGGCATGGGCCATCTTCGGCCCTCCCATGTGTTGGACTTCAACTCCCACAATTTCTAACAGGCATAGTGGACTTCCTTCCTGCAGATAAAAGTCCACTTACATAAATATAAGTCTAATAATGACATTCAGCCACTCAAATAACCTCCTTTCAATTTTTCTGAAAATTGCTCTTTATACCCTGATGGCTCTAAAATTTCCAGAAATGTTATACCTCCCAATTTGAGCATTTCATCTGCCATCTTACATACCTATTCGTATGAAGTAGAGTTTAAGAATGAATTTGAATGCAGTGTAAAGGCCTAATAGGTTGCCTTTTATTTATAATTAAGGAAACAGAATGGTCTGGTTTTGCACTTGAATGAGTTTTGCAGTTTTATTCATCAGCATTATGAATAAAATCTGCATTATATAACATAGCCTGCTTTACAGAATTTCTTCCCTCTTCAATTCTTTCTCTTAGGCAATAAAACATACATTTGGGGTGTTTTCTCAAGCTTTCAGTGGCCACAAGGTCTAGAAACATTGTTTTGAAAAGTCAGTGGCTTGTGTTGTCTCCTTCTCCCATACCAATCCATTCATGATCAGGTCAACAAAAGATAAACCTAGCAAACTGGTTGCAATCATCCTAATAAACTGGCTTTATGAAGACACCTCCAGACGGGGTTCATCCGTGCCCTGTTGACCTCCTCTTGCCTCATTCTTATCGGCCGGTATATGTTGATGTTGTTGTACAGGACTGCAGGTGAATCGGCAACATATTGGCGTTGGTAGTAGTTGACTTGGATGCCATTGGGGGGCGGGGTGGACATAAATTTGGTGTAGCCGTGAAAAGAGTGGCCTCTGCTGAGAGGTGATGGTGACGTGGGCTGGATGTTGTACACTGGAGTCCTCACAGGTTTCCTGCTTGCCGAACCGCTGTTGTTAGATATGCTACTGAACGGGTCAGAGGGTGTGTGGATGCTCCCATGGTTGCTGCTGTTGGTGAGGCTCCCTTGGGTGGCTGCGGTACTCTTGTTGAGGAAGAAGAGGGAGGTATGGGAGGGGAGCCTCAGCCCCGCCACAGGTTTGGACGAGGCGTAGAGATGCCGAAACTCCTCGTCAAAGAGTTCCACCACTTGGCCCGTAAACTTGGAGAGGAAGTTCCGGTGGACCTGGCCACACAACCATGTGAAGCTGGAAAGGAGTAAAGTACAACACTGTAAAAGGTGGGTTACCATATTTAATTGAGTCTAACACTCATCTTTTCTGGCTAAATTACATCACTAAAATTGAGGTGCACATTAGATTAGATGGTATGTTAGAATCGCATACCTAAACCCATCTACACTTGCATGCTGGTCGCTTCTGCCCAGTGTGGAACACATCTCACCACACTAAAACAGTGGATGTGGCTCTTAATGAGACATGCCGCATTATCACGGGGTGTCTGCGCCCTACACCACTGGAAAAATTACACTGTTTAGCCGGTATTGCACCACCTGACATCCTCCGGGAAGTAGCAGCCAATAGTGAAAGGACCAAGGCAGAGACATCTCCAGCTCATCCCCTGTTTGGGTATCAGCCAGCAGTAGAGAAGAGCTGCCACTATTCACAGCAGGCAGGACTGCGTCATTAAGGGCAAACATTCAGACCTAGTAAAATATGGCTTCCTGTGTTCCCCCAAGAGACTCAGTGAATACTTGCTGCAGAACACAAAGAATGCCTCTAGAACATGGCCATATAGCCCGAAAAAAACTACAACAACCCAGACTTTGTATTTCTAGGTGCAAAGATTTCTGCAGACGCAGACTGCAGCCAGGAAATCAGGAGACGTTTACTTCTTGGGAGGAGAGCAATGACCAATCTCGATAAAATAGTGAAGAGTAGAGACATCACACTGGCAGCGAAGATCCGCACAGTTAAAACAATGGTATTCCCTATAGTAATCTATGATTGCAAGAGCTGGACCATAAGGAAGGCTGAGCGAAACAAGATAGATGCTTTTGAACTGTGGCATTGGAGAAAAATTCTGAGAGTGCTTTGGACCACAAGAAGATCAAACTAGTCCGTACTCCAGGAAATAAAGCCTGGCTGCTCACTGGAGGGAAGGATATTAGAGGCAAAGATGAAGTATTTTGGCCACATTATGAGAAGACAGGAAAGCATGGAGAAGATAATGATGGTGGGGGAAATGGAAGGAAAAAGGAAGGAAAAAGGAAGAGGGGCCGACCAAGGGTTAGATGGACAGATGTTTTCCTTGAAGTGACTGGCTTGACTTTGAAGGAACTGGGTGTGACCACTACTGACAAGGAGCTCTGGCGTCGGCTGGTCCATGAGGTCACTAAGAGTTGGAAGCGACTGAATGAATAAACAACAAACATATGAATGTAATAAAACAAAATTGTATGAAGAAAGAAATGCTTGTCCGATGCCCCTGGGAATCCAGGTACAATCCAAATACGTAATTCTTTGTGCAGAATAAAGCTCTGCAAGATTGTTTCTCAATATTGATGTAATCAAGGCAAGGGGATCTTATGAAAGTTGCAGAAATGATAACAATCAGATGGAGGCAATGGGAAATAGCAAAACAATCTAAATACAGGCAATCTAAATAAAAACTGTTTTAAGATAATTTATGAAAACT